GGGGGGGGGGGCTTGAAGGGACTAAGTCCCTCCATAAATATAAAGTACAGGTCTTAGCCCCCTAGCCCTAAAAATTGTTAAGTGACTAAAAATACAATAATTATTATAATTGTAAAATGCATTTTTAATAACTGAATTAAACAAAAATATTCTGTGATAAAAATTAAATCAAATTCGTAAGATATTACAAACTTCTTGTCATGACTTGGAACGATCGCAATTAATGTAATATTAATAATATATAATAATACCCGTATAAGTTGTTTAATTTAATTAATAATTTCTGTTTATAATACCTACTCCAAAAATGTTTAAGATAAAGCACCAAATTGTTTTTTTGTTTAAATTATTGATTAAAAATGTCAAATTGTCAAACTTCGTAAATTGCCTTATTGAAATAAATAATTGCGCACAGTGGTATCTATTGGTGTAATAAGCAAATAATCCTCAGTCCCCCACAAATTTCACCAAATTTCCCCTAATGGTTTGTGGTGCGTGCACACATAAAACGCACTAGCTAAGACAAAGCGTAATACAAAAATAATAATAATTTTTACTTATGAATATTACGATGAAATTATTACACCAATAAAATTAACAATTCACGCCATAGACATGTGTACTACACGCCATACACTGAAAAAATACGAATAACATGAACAATAATTTAGGTAATCGTACGCGAGACATCAATTCTATTTCAGACTTACAGTATTGCAATAAATAATGACTCGGTTATTCGTAGAAGACCTATTACCTATTAAATTATAATAATACGACGTATCCGCTTGGGATAATTTTAAAAATAGTATCCCAGTTGTTTACACTCGAACATTGAACATACCATACCATTCATGCATACATGTTAATATGATTTATTGCTATTGTCTTTATTTAGATAAATTTAGATTAATTAACAATTTTGTATATTATTTGTGAAATTATTCCTGTGAATAATAAAAAAAAAATCCATTCAGTTATATGGGTTTTGGGTGTTTAATTTTTTAAAGGTTTTTAGGGGTGTTACGGGTTCGGGTTAATTGTGGTGCAAAGCCCTGCTATTTACCATGTAATAAAAAAAAAAAAATGTAATAAATTCCTAGTTATGTTGAATAATCATTATAATTTTAAAAACATGTACGAATTATTAATACTATTATCATGCATTTATATATATATATATATAAATATCATTTTCATTTTTTTTCATTTTAATTTATGTTACTTCTTAAATATGTCTTAAAACTCAAAAACATCACTTACATTATCAATATTATATATCCAAATTTTTTAAATCCTTAATGTTCATATTTTATATTTTAGATTTATGTATTGTACTCACCTTTTGATGCGAGGACGCATCACAAAAAGACTAGGGTGGATGTAATGATGTGCGCCTAAGCATTCATATATTTTTATAAAATTGAATGTATAATTAAATAACTATAATATTCGATAGCCATTAAGTATAATAATAAGTCGTAAGTATTAAATATAAGATATTACATACACACACACACACACACAACATCATATATAGTTTTTTAGTTAAAGGAGGAGACGCATTCTTGTTGTCCTTTTGAATAAACAGTCAAAGGCGAGTGTAAAAGACTACACAGATCGTCTATGCAGAAAGACATAATTAGTTGTAAAATGCTCAGTAAAAATTTAAAATACGTGTATTAATGTATGTAAAAAGAAGTTTAAATAAAATTATTAAAAGAGAGTAAAAGAAAATGTTATTAATATTTTAAAGTACGAATTGGTTATCTTATCTCATTCCTCAAACGTCAAACACAGATTTCAACATGCACGTCAATACAATTATCGGAGAGGTAATATTAAATATTGATAATATAATAATTAACGATTTAAAAAACATATAAGTATTTTACACATAAAATAATGTAAAAACTATAATTTTAAATGATTACAGTATAATTGCTAATCGTAGAATAGAATCCATACGATGTTTTATGTGATGCCTTATAGTAAATATGAATTATTTAAATTATTTTCATTAACTTTTCTTACTTGTATTATTCACAAACAAGACTTGAAAATATATGTCTATTACTCCTTATGTTTAATAAATTAGTTTTTATGATACAAGAATAATACACAAAAAATAATTATGAATTAATTAATAATAACAAATTAATTATAAAAAGCTTATAATCATGAGTAAATATGTTAAGTTAAATTTCAAAACAAATATGAGCAATTTAGAATCAGTATTTTTTAATTTTAAACTGTAGTTAATAGATATATTCAATGATTATTATAAAAATACTTATTTTATGGGAGACTGTGTGCTTAATTTATTATTTTTAAAATTAATAAATTTTAATTTAAATTTATTTATTTAAATTTTAAATTTTAAATTAATAAATGTTTATAAGCTTACTTTCAGTGGATGTGTGTTTATTGTATTTTCTCACATTGGGCTGTACTTGTAACGATTGGCCAGTTTGGGTATTAGATACTCCTTGTTGTGATCCACTGCAGAGGATACCAGACACAACCACCACAAGAAAAGTAAATATCTACAAAAAAAATATTGGTTTTTGTATAATATGATATAAAATTATTTAAACTGTATTAATTGTAACAAGTCAGGTAAAGACTTAAAATAGGTAAATGTATACTAAACTACTTATACTAGTGCAGCGCGAAGTTTATTTTCCAATGAAGCAGTTACGTGTATTGAATATTTACCTCAAATCAAAGTCTTAGATTCAGAGTTAAATGGTACTTGTAGGTACATAAATATTAAAAATAACGGGCTCAAGCAAAATAATATATAACTAGTATACTCATTGCGAAAATTCCCAATAGATAATTTATTTATATATTAAAAAGTATAGGTGCAATAGAATTAATACATAAACACATTTTAACAAATCAATAAATGAGTAAAATATCGAGAATTTAAAGACATATCGAAGTGACAGAGAGTGTTTATTAAAATATATGTTCCGCAGCATTATGATAGACTATGTATAAAATGGTGTAATTATTACATAAAATAATTTTACAGTGCTTCCTTCTAGACAATATTAGCTAATATAAGTAATAATATTAGTATTGTTTGTGAGTTGTTTGTTATTATATCACTGGGTAAGAGTCAATGAGAATGCAGTATTTGGAAAAAATTGATACTAAAATTGATTGTGCAAACATAACTTTCCTCAAACTCAACGAATTCAAGCAGTTAATAGCTCAAAAGAAAGAATGTTGATCCACTGAGTATTCTGAGAGTGAAACTATCAAGATCCATTCATTAGAGGAGCTATAAGAATTCGAATGTTGCTTGAGTGAATGTGTCCCATAAGAAATATACAGGGAAGAAACGCGTTGGTGGGAGTTGAGTAAATTTCAATGATTGATGACATATTTGTGTCTAAATACTTTTCATTAAAAAAAAAAAAAAAAAATGAAGGAAATCGGCTGGAATGAACGGCCAGACTGACTTTAGTTTTCATACATTTTTTTAATGTATAAGATAATATTTTGTCAAATGTACAAATTATGTAATAAACTTTTCAGTCACAAAACACTACCTACCCACCTCATTTTAAACGTGAAGCAACTGCTTCAATAAAATCTGCATCGCGCCGCCACTGATTTATACGTAATGGATAAACATGAAACAACTTACTTTAATCATCATCTTGACTACTGACTAGCGTTGTGGACCTCCAGAGTTCTAAGTGAATACTGACCACGAATGCAAATTATATGGAGACTTATATAGATAATTGTAAACTAAGACCCAGCATATCCTTCGATGTATTTACAACGGTTTTTTATCGTTATTTATTATTAAACAATGAATTAGGCGTACCAATCAACTTCCAACAATGGTGTGAACCAGTCATCATCATCACATCGAGACGGTTGTTGAACTTGAGTAGGAGGACACTTGAACATTGCAATATTTGGTACGTATAAGGGTTAAGGATGTATAATTCGATTTATGATTAATGACACTTCAGTGCACTGGTTGATTCGGGTTTGAAATCTAATTTAAGAATAATCCAACGAACAGAAATCAAAAAAAAATTTCATGATGACTAATCAATAACTGACAGTATTTTAATTATATTATTTTCTTTTTCAGTTAATGTAGGTAAATAATTAAATATACAAGAATATTATTGTATAAATTAAAGTATTATAATAAATATTAGAATTAATTAGTGGTATTAATCGATTTTTATGAATAGTATGAGCCATGAAATAAATAAATACTGGTATGCAAATAGTCTCATGTTAAGATCGTTTAGTAAGTACTTAATAAGTTTTTCATACTTCGTGGTTTCGTAATCGTCACTTTTTAAAACAGATAAAAATGTTATAAAACAGCAGTTCCCACAATTTTTTAGATCACACATCCGTAAAACAAAAAAAAATTAATCGTAATTCAATTAAACATTTTTTTTATTATTTAAATATAAGCAAATTATTATCGATCTAAAAATAAATATGTGGTAGAACAATATACAATATAAATATTTGCTTTGCGCCTCACAATTTGAGAACCGTTGTCATAAATTATAATCAATGGGTAAAATAATTAATATAGAGTAATAATGATTTCAATATTAAGTTCTATACCAAACAAATCATAATAATTATTTTTACTATTATTAATATTACTATTTCAATAATAATAATAAATAATAAAATAAATTTAAATTAAATTAAAAATTAGTAAATTATTAATACTCGTTAATAAAATAATATACAAATAAACTATTTGTTTATTTATTTATTCATCAATAATAATTTATGGATTAAACCAGGAATTTTTATGAATATTAAAATTATGTATTTATATATTCTAAGCAAGCGAGGAATGTATTTAGTTTATTGAGTCTCCATTCTTTATTAGATCTATAAGAAATAATTTATTTTTTTTTTTTGAAGAAGGAGTTATACAATTTTAATTACATATAGGTATTCAGCGAATTAAAATATCAAAAATATTGTACTCAATATATTCATTAATATAATTTTAATTTTAATACACATACTGTGGTTCTAGTTTTTTTATTATTATTATTATTTTTCAAATACCATGATTATTATCATGAAATATTATATAATTATTTAATTCTAGTCTCAATGAAGATTATCAAATACCTCATAACCGATAGTCTAATTATTTCTAACATTAATAACTTCAATAATTTTAAAAATCTTTCAATTCTTAGGACTTCTAAGTGTTTTTAAAGTTTCAAGTTCTTTTTATTCTTCATCAAATTTGTAGATTTATCCGATAGCATACTACATTAGCAATTATCATTGAACTTGAACTTCTATTCATTTTGCATATGTTGACTCATTCAGTGAATGATGCTTAGTTGAGGGTACTGACCGACAAAAACTTGACATTGATGTGCTTTAACGACTGAGGTCATCTCAGTTGTCTTTGCAGTTATCCGTTTGATGTTAATCGTTCATCTTTTTGCCTATTGTAAAAGTGTTTAATGTAACAATAGGTTATTGGATATTCTAATCTCATGGATGGATCTATACATCTATGGGCCACATTTATTAGTGATAATGGAATAGGTGCTAAACGAATATCGTCGAATCACGGCACATTCTTAACAACCATTAAAAACGATTAGTCAATAATTTACTATTGTTCAAGTCAAACTAAATCTTTCGTACAGCATTTTATATTGAAAAATAAAAGTTAAAAAAATAAACACATTTTTCAAACTGTATATCGAATATAAGTTATATTTTATTATATTATATAACCCATGCCAATGGCGTAACCAAGAGGGATAACGGGTTATATCCCTTCCCCCCCAAAATGTACTTCTTATTTTATAAAATAGGTTACAATAGGTATACAATAATTTTAAAACATAGGTATTGTTTTGTCGTATAAATTTTCTCAGTTTCAATAAACTAAATAATAACACATTTTATATTTTAACTTTTCTATGTTTAATCGACTTATTAAAATTAAAAATTTGGTACTTATGTAGGAGAGAATTAAAAATTTAAGATCCTCCCTCAAAAAAAAAACATTTTTTTGGCTATGCTACTGACCCATGCAATAATTCATATCATGCAATTTTACAACGGTGAAATAACTGTACTTTTTTTTAATAAAGTCACAAATATTGGTTAAAGTTTTTGATGTTTTAATTAAAGTTTTACTGTATTAGAAGTTCAAATTTTCGAAAATTGGAAGTCTGAACTACTCAGATTTTATAAACATTGTATTTATTTTATTTTCTACGCATTATTGCAAGCTATGTTCTTTACTGATTTGTTTTTCAAATCGGATATTGTATTACTATTAATTTTTAAAACGCCTACTCTAGTGGCCCACTCAATATCAGTAGGCTTGACTTTCAAAACCTAACCTATATCCGGTCCTTTTATTCTTTTTTTTATAGTTTTGAATAAATTTTTGTGTAATGTAACCTCTGTGGAAACAAGTATTTAGGTAAAATTTTGAAGAGTCTGAAGCAAAAATGTTTTTCTTTATCACCTTTTTATGAACATATTGACATTAAAATATAATTTTTTAAATTTAACAGATGATTTATGCATTTGTATTTCACATAAAATATAATAATTAGTAAGTTCCTTATTACTAGGGCTCGGATTTCAATGTACTTGCATCTTGTTTTTGGAATGACTTACACGATGCTTTCCAAGCTACAAATGTGTTTTAAGTACTACATGTTGTAACTACGAAATATTTTGCGGCATTTATTTAGCGGATTTTATACTTTTTAAGGTATTTTTGACGTTTTTAATGCATTTTTTAATTTATTGAGACATTTTTGACCTATATCTTGTAATATGACTAAAAAAAATGGATTGAATATTGATTCAAAAAATATTGTTCCAGAAGACTTGACTCCTAACGATACGTCATTTTTTCAAATTAGCTCCTATCACCTCGGTTGATGTAGAGAGATCATTTTCAGTTTATAAGACATTGTTGGCAGACAACGGTCGGTCATATTTTACAAAAAAAAAAAAAAAAAACCATGGTAATTGCAAAATGTAATAAAATTAGTAATAAGCAGATTCGACTATTTCTTACTTATGATTATTAGTCGGTTTTCATCAAGTACTACTGATTATTCAACTAAATTTTGCACAACCAACTAATATTTATAAATTAAATTAATGGACTAATTCAATTAAATATTAATCGGACTAAATCGATTAAAAATGAATCGACTAAAATTCGTTTAATCATTTTGTAAATAAATAACTGACTAATGGCTGAGTACCTACTAGAGAATACAAAGTACCGAAGCCGAACTATCTACCAATTTTAAGAAATTTAAAATTTACTTTATAGTTAATTCGTAGCCCGTAGGGCTAACCAATGTGCTGCGAGTCTGAATCTGTATAGAATACATGTATAATATATATACATATATAGGTTATTCTAAGAAATATTTTACATGGATTTTATAAAAATAAATATGTCTTAAATGAGTTCCTTAGTTATCATTAGGGTCCGGATTTGTATGCACTTAAAACCCTTAAAATAGTATGCATTTATGCATCAAAAAACCTTTAAATATGCACTAGATATGCTCTTATTTTTTTTAAAAAATATGCAAAAATATGCTCTTACCCAAAATATATGCATTTATAATTTTTTTTTTTAATTTTTTCTTTATATATTAATAAATAATAATTAATACAACATAATCAAACTTATTTTTTTTATTACCGGCACTGCGACATCAACTTACAACATTAATTAAAGACAAAAAATGTTTAAAAATTACATTAAATTAATAAAGTGCACTTTAGTTAAAAATAATAATAAAAAAAATGTATTTAATTCTTTTATACCAATGAAGACAATTTATATATATAAAAAAAACAATTTAAACAAATAAAAACATTTTAATTACCTAATAGATATAAATCGATATTTACTTTTTATAAAAAGAGTTAACAATAATATACTCTTCCATATGTTCAGGTGTCATATTTATTCTTCTATCACTTAATATATGTTTATATAGACTGAAGGATCTTTCCACATCTACTGACGTCAACGGTGCATATTTCATATTTGCCACAGAGCAAGGATTGAAATTTTCTGGAATCTGTATTTCATTGTTACCTGATATAACTAGTCCGATTTGTTCTAGTACTTGAAATCCTTTATTTTTTTGATATAACTGAGATATTTTATTTTTTATGATAGAACCTTTGTCACCTTGTATATTTGATAGTTCGGAAATTATAATTTTCGTAATCTCTAACGATTGTAGTAATGTCAATTTAGTATCTTCTAAATTTGTGATTGCCCGAATAAGTCCAGAAAAGTTAATTTTTATAAATGTTAAATCATTTTTCACTGTAGTCAAATTGAACATTTTTTTACAATTATCTACACTTGCTGAAGAATCATTATCTAGTTTTTCTATTATACTTTTAATACCTTCATAGTTATTTGCATTAAATATAACTGCCTCTATCCATGTCCCCCATCTTGTAATAACTGGTTGCGGGGGCAATGGTAAACCAGGTAGCATTCTTTATATAGTTGAATACGAGAAGGTGACTTTAAAAAAGATTTTTTTTACATTGTTAATTAATTTATTTACATCGGGGAATAACTCTCTTACCTTTTCTGCTACTCTGTTTAACATATGTGCTACGCATGTTACATGGATGATATTTGAGTAAAACACTTTTAATGCATCTCCAGTTTTAACCATATATGGCGCTGCATCTGATAAAAACAATCTTAGGTTTT